GGGTGGATCAAGTCCAACCCTCAGCCCAGCCCTGCCATGGTCACCTCTAACCCCTGTCCCCAAGCGCCACATCCACACGTCTCAGAAGCTCCTCCAGGAGTGGTGACCCCAGCGCTGCCAGGGGCACCTATGCCAGGGCTGGGTAGCCCTTCCCATGAGGGAAGAGAGTTCAGTGAGTCCCCATGGTGACTGTGAGTGCTGCTGGTGTGAGCTGGGATGCATCCAGCCCCAGGGATGGCCCCGGAGCCTGTGCCAGCCAGGGGATGCCCATCGGGCAAGAGGCATCCTTCAGTGCCTCAGAAACCCTCCTGCTGATGCCCCTTTACTGCCTGGTTGTGTTTTCCAGAACTGACAAGGACATTTTGGAGACAACACTTGATAAATCTCCAACCTCAGGGGTGGCACCGCAGCCAGGGGGGCTTTGGGAGTGGGACTGGGGCTGTGTCCCTGCAGCCCCTGCCCTCAGTCATTGCTGGGGGGTGAAGTAACAGTCCACTTGCGTGTGACAGACAAATGGAAACCCTGCCCGGGGCCCACCTGCTGCTGCCCCGGCCCTTGACTCAGCGCCTGCGAATATCGCGGTGACGGCGAGGCTGGAAATGCTGGAGCCGGAGCTGGGAATGGGAACAGGAATGGGATGGGGGGTGGGAGGTGGGAGGTGCCGAGCAGGGCACTGAGCCACCCCCCCTGCTGTTTGTGGTTGGCCACTGTGTGTTTTCCACATGAGCTCCCTGGGTTTTTGGAGGTCTGACCTAAACCCCTCTGGAGGTCTGACCTAAACCCCTCTTCAGGTCTGACCTAAACCCCTCTGCAGGTCTGACTTAACCACCCTAAAGGTCTGACCTAAACCCCTCTGCAGGTCTGACCTAAACCCCTCTGCAGGTCTGACTTAACCACCCTAAAGGTCTGACTTACCCCCCTGGAGAGGGGACAGGCAGGGGCAGGAGGGGGGAAGCAGCTGAAAGGAGGGGACAGCCCCCCATGGGAAGTGTCACCACTAACCAGCAGCACAGACGGGTTTGGTCACCTCCCTTCTGCTGGAATCCAGGGGTCTGGGAGCTTTCCTGGCCATCTGAGGTGCCTCCCACGGACTCACAGTCCACGTCACGTGTTCAGAGCTGGATGTAGGAGGTGGGGACGGTTCCTGCCCTCTCCTGTTGGGTGGCTTTGAGTGTGTCCCACTGGGGATGGCCCTGGGGACCCTCTCAGTGCTGGTGTCCCCTTCCCAGGGCACAGGGGGTGGGTGACTGTCCTCACTGACCATCCCCCGGAGCCTGGCTCTGTACCCTGCCCTGTTGAGGCCCATGGTGGCCCGTGGTGACCCAGCTGTGACATCCCACTGCTGTTCCAGCCCTGCTGGGCTGTGAAGAGCCCACCAGGACCCCAGAGACGTTTATGGGATGAGCTTGGAGGATTTTACAGCTCCGGGGAGCCCTTCCCAGAGGGAGGAAATGAGCTCTTGGTTTGTTCCAGGCCTTTGGCATCTCTGCTTGACAGAGCACAGGTGGGGAGGTCTCCCCCCCTCCTGCCTAATGCTGAGCCTTGGCCAGGGATGGTCCCAATCTCTGAAGCCTTCAGGGTTTGCCCCAGCTGTTGGAAGGATCTGCCCTCTCTCCACTCAGCTGTTGTAGTGGGGAAGGCGCCGCCGAGGCTTCCCCTCATTCCCGCCCGGCAGGTCTCTGATCTCCTGGAAAATCTGGGGGGATGGATCAATCTGATGCTTTTGTGGGACAGATTTGCCCCTTTGGAATGGGGTCCTGCCAATAAACCCAGCTGGGGGTGCCTGTGCTGTGTCACCAGGGGGCTGGGATGGCGTGAGGGGGATCTGACTCTTTAGGGAATAAATGACACTGTCCCTGTTTAGACCAAAGTTACCTGGAAGATAACTAAGGGAACACATCAGTGCACTGGAAATGTGGGTTTAAAAACCAGTATAAAAAGTCCCAGCTTCCTGTAGGAAGAGAATCCCTGGGAATCAGGGAGAACCTGCATTCCAGCAAAGTCCTGAAATACTTGGAGTTCCAGGCAAAAACAGGCTGATATTTTTAATTACCCCTAAATTTTTAATATTCAACCCTCTTGGATGCCTGTAGGGACAGCCAGCACAGCCCACTGGGTGTGACGTTCCCTTCCATGCTGAGGTGGAGGATTTGATTTCCACCACCAGACTCCCTTTCACCGAGTCAGAATCCCAGAATATTCCCATCTGGAAGGGACCCACGAGGATCACCGAGGCCCAGCTCTGAAGTGAATGGTTTCTGGGGGTGTTTGAGGTCCCTCACCCAAACCTGGGGGGTCTGAGGCTCCTCATTCCCGTCCCTGCCGTTGTGGTGGCACCGGAACCTTCATCTCTGGGTCTGGTGCCTCCCAAATCCTCTGACTCCCAGCTCGGCCGACCTGCTGTGGAGAGCAGAGTCTCCCAGCTGGAGTTCACTCAACCCCTGCTGGAGTTTGCTCAACGTGAGGCGTCCTGTGGGAATCAACAAGATGCCAACAGACTCCGGTAACGTGGCCCGGATAAGTCGGGGTGATAAAACCCTGTTGATTCATTTGCACTTGAACTATGAGTCACCCTGTGAGTCAACAGAGCAAACGGCACCCAAACGTCATCCAACAGGTTGAAAAAGCTCCAGTTTCACTCAAATCAAGGGAAATTATTACCTTGATGTTCCTTCTCCCCTGAGGAAAGCGTTTGGTTTTTAGCCGCGCTCCCCCAAATGGAAACTGGAGAGGAATCCGAGCGCTCATTTCCTTACGAACCACAGCGTTGGTATCGATTGATTTTGCTTTCAGAGCTCTCCAAATTGCTTTTCTTGATCAAAAGAAACCTACTTCTTTTTTGGTTTTGTGGTTGTTTTTTTTTTTTTTTTACAACAAAGTGTTTTCGGTGCAGATTAAACATCGAGATCATCGCTGGGAAAGGCACAGGGAAGACTCCTGAGGATTGCTGATGTTTGTGGGAGTCTGGAAATGGCCACCTGTGGAAAGAGTCATCAAAGCATGTGCAGGGGTCAAGTGGAGGGGTCAAGGCAGGGAGAAATCCCTGGAGGTCAAGGTGTTGATAACCAGAGCTTCTCCCATCGTCCCCTCCAGGTGCCAGACCCAGCTGGGAGCCAAAGGAGCTGGAGGGGCTCAGATGGGAGGTCTCCTCCAGCCCTGGGCAGCAGCACTGTCTTCTCTCTTGCCAGAGCAGCTGTACGAAGTTTTCTGGTTCGTGACCCACTTGGCAAGTCTGAGCCTCTCCCAGATGCTCCAGGGAGCAGGAGGAGCTGCCCGAGCCTGGCCATGGCAGCAGAAGTGCCTGGGAGTGCCCTGTCACCTCCTCCTGCCTCAGAGAGCTCATCCCTCAGGCATCCCAAGGGTATTTTGGGGAAGGTTTTATTGGCCACATTCCTCCTCACGGGGGGAAAGTAATCGAGGAACATCTGGGGTATCACATAGTTGTGGAGGAAAGGGGCCCTCCCTGAGGCACTGACACCATCTCATGGTGTCCTGGCCTTGTCCTGCTGCCAAACAACCAGGGCAGCAAAAGAAATCCCTCCCTGGAGCACGAGGGTCTTGCTGCTCCAGCTGGGATGTGTCACCCCTCGGGCTCTTCTTTGGGATGTCCCCACATCCCTTTGCAGATCAGGCTCGGCCAAGGGGGCTTTGCTCTTCCTTCGCTCCCTCCGGTTCCTGGGTCACCACAGTTCCCCCCACACCTGGAAAACCACCCCCTTGGTGCCAGGCTGGGGTCACCTGGCCCTGGCAGAGGTCAGGCTTCGTGCTCTGGCTGTCCTGGAGGTGTCTCCTCACCCCCATGTCCATGTCTGGAGGTGTTTCCTGGGGACCACAGAACCCTGAGCCTCTGGAGCAGCACCCAGGAGAGCCAGGCCCGCTTGGCTCCTCCCCAGCTGCCTCCCTGGGCACAGGGAATTAGCTGGGGAACAGGGAAAACACCGCCAGCCCAAGTTTGAGGAAGGCTGGGGGTACAGAGACACCTTTGGCAGTGTCTCGTACATGGTGAGGGAGGGAAAGGGGCAGGCCAGGGGTGAGGGGTCATGTCCTGGAGGACTCAGGGTCTTTCATGGCTCACTGGAGGGATTTGGGGTGAATCTGGGTTTGGGGGGGTGACAGGAGGGTGGCTGGTGATGAGTTCTGTGGTGCTCAGGCTCCATGGCCAAGGTGCTGGGGGAAGGGGCAGCTCCTGGAGGACACGGCACAGGGTGAGGGTCTCCAGGAACAGGGGAGGGGCCAGCTGGGCTGGGCCAAATCATCCCTAGGGTTGAGTTCCAACCTCAGACATTGGGGGCCTGAGGGTGAGGAGGGGGAGGACAGAGGGAGCAGAGGGGTCTGGGGTCACAGGGGCTGTGGGAGAACGTGACGGGGAGCGGGTGGGTGGGGAGGTCAGTGCAGGATTAACTAGGGGGGTCTGGTGTCAGTGCAGGGGCTGGGGAAGGAATGTGGGGTCCAGGGGTCCCTGGAGAGGCTGAGAGGGGACTGGGGGCGGGCAGGGGGTGGCTGAGGAGGTGGCAGTGAGGGCGTGGGGAAGCCCCGAGCTAGAGGGGTGCTGGGGACAGGAGCAGTGTCCCCAAAGAAAGGTGACCCGGCCCTGGCCCGCCCAGCTCTCTGAGAGCCCAGGGGGGTGGTGGGGGGGCCGGGACCATGTGCTGCCATCCCATAGGAGGGGGCCGCGGGGGCTGCTGAATGTGCAGGTCCCGGGTGGCTATTCCTGGCCGTCCCGCCCGCGCAGGCAGATTGGTTTGCACGGAGGTGACAAGTGCCAGCCCAAGCCTATAAAAGTCACCGCAGCCCCTGTCCTGGCTCAGTGACCTCGTTCCCCCCTCCCAGCACAGCCCTCCCGCAGCAGAGGGGACACCTGAGCAGGGATCCCAGCGAGCAGCCCCGACCCCACGTCTGGAGGAGAGACCTCTTGTCTGGAGCGGGAACCCCAAAGCAGGGCGAGAAATCAGAGCAGAGACCCCCAGCCCTGCTGACCCCCAGCCCCCCGCTCTGCAGTGATGACGGGGAAATCGGCCCCTCCAGCCAAAAAACCCGCCCCGGTGGCTGCCAAGAAAAAGGCAGCGCCGGCCCCCAAGGAAAAGGCAGCTCCGGCCCCCAAGGAAGAACCGGCCCCAAAGGAAGAACCAGCCCCAAAGGAAGAACCGACCCCAAAGGAAGAGCCGACCCCAAAGGAAGAAGCGGCCCCTAAGGAAGAAGTGGCCCCGGCCCCAGCTGCTGAAGAGCCCCCGGCCCCCACAGAAGCCGCTCCCACCCCCCCAGAAGCCGGAGCAGAAGCCACTCCAGCCCCCGAGGAAGGTTCCCCAGCACCCCCCGCCGAACCCCCGGCCCTCGAACCTGAACCCCAGCCAGAGAAGCCCAAGGAAGGTGAGGACGGGGCGGGACCCTGGAGCGGGGAGGGGGCACAGGCAGGGCTTGGAGGGGCTCGGAGGGTGTCGGGGTGAGGGGACGGAGGGGGGGAGCTGTCAAGGGGGATTTGCTGAGGACTGGGAGGGTGGGTGGCTGAGGATTGGGAGGGTGGGTGGCAGACGAGGAGAGTGAGGGATTGCCCTTGGGCAGAGCTGCCCTCACCCCCAGGTTCTTTGCAGAGCCACCCAGCTCCCCCCTGTCCTTGGCCGTGGAGGAGGTGAGCGAGAATTCCTTCACGCTGACCTGGAAAGCTCCGGAGCACACGGGCAAGGCGGGCCTGGATGGATACCTGGTGGAGATCTGCAAGGATGGAAGTAGGACCGGGCTTTGCTGCCTCTGAGCGTGGAGGGGGGGTTGCTTGTGCAGGCATGTGGGGAGGGGGGGCTGGAAACGCATTTCCCCAGGCACCAACTCCTGTTCTTTGCCCAAATCCGTTTATTTTAAATGGTTATTTTATTTTATTTACTTTTTTCCCCATGGAAAAGTGGAGCTTCCTGTTGGCTTCAGATAGTTGGGATGTCTCTAGCAGGGGGTTTAATGTCACCGCTGTGTCCAGCTGGAGGGTGGAGGAGGGACCAGCCTGCTCTCTGAGGATGGTCCCTGATCATCTCCAGCTCTGCAGGGACGTGGGGTTGGGATGGTGATCCAAGGAAACGGGAGGAAGAAGCTCAATTTTGCCATGTTTGCCTAAAGTGAAACATGGAAGGAATAGGGAGAAGGCAGGAGGATGAGGGAGGAAAGGATCCTGGGAAGCACAAGAGGGGCTGGAATGTGTCAGCAGACCTATAGGAGGGTGGGTAGGCGGATGGAGGGGGCTGGTGGGTGGCAGTGATGATCTGTGGTTCTCTGTTGGCCTCTGGAATAGGGGAGGGTGAGGAAGACTTGAGTTTTGGGACCTCTCTTGAAGCTCTGCTGGGCTTTGGGGTGGCAGTGGGTGACATGTGTGTCACCTCCCCTACAGGGGGACATTGGGGCTGCTGGGCTGGTGCTGCAGGAGCCTGGAGGGGTTTGAGAGACCCAGGTGGTCTGAGGGCCTTGGGGAACTCGATCCTTGGCTGTTTAGCTGGTGGCACACACAGCCAACACATTCTTGGCTCCCATCGCTGGGCTGGGGACAGGGGACAATCAGGAGGAGGCCCTTGTGTGGCACAGGGAAAGGTGCAGCAGTTCCTGGAGGGGTCTGGGGGAGAGGCACCCAAAGGGCACGGGCTGGGTGCTGTCCTGGGCCTGTCTGGGTGGCAGGAGAGCTGCAGTGACACTTTGGGGAGCCCCAGGCCTTTGGTGAGCGGGCGGTTTGTTCTCTACCTGAGGAGCCTCCGCAGGGTTTGGCTCAAGGCCAGGCTGTGCCAGCTGGGGATGGGGCTGTGTTTGTGCCTCCTGCCTGTGGGGTGGGTGTGAGATGCCCCTTCCAAGCAGGAAGCTGGAGGTGAAGGGAAAGAGCAGCTGGTGGGATTTGGCTGCTCTTGAGGGCACCGGCAGGAAAAGCTCCTTGGTTTGAAGGTGGCTTGGCATGGATGGTCCATGGGGCCGGTGGCACGTGATGAGCAGACCTTGCCTGGGGTTCAGGACATGCTGGGGGACATGGGGAGCCCCAGTGTTGCCCTGGGGCAGTGAGAGGGGTGCACTGGCAGGGGGGTCAAAGGATTTTTCCTTCCAGATGTGCCCCTGGTCAGCAAGGACCACATTTGCTGGACCGTGATGCCTTTTCTTACCTGCAGAAAATGTCCTGCTCCACTGCTGAGCTTCTGCCAGCTCTTCACACCCAAAACTTCACACCCAGCTCTTCACACACAGCTCTTCACACCCCACACTCCTTGCCAGGGGGTGCCCAACTTCCCCTCTAAGGTCCCTTTTCCTGCTGCTGCCCCAAATCATTCCATCTTTCCAAGGAAGGGGTTCTGTGCCTCTGGATCCCTCCTGGGGGGATCCTGCTGTTTGGGGGGGTGTCTGTCTGTCCCTGGCACACCTGAAGTTCTGTGCTGGGTTCATCCCAGGTTCTGAGTGGAAAGCTGTGAACCAGGAGCCTTTTCTTTCCACGCGCTACACGGTCCCAAACCTCAGCTCCGGGGACAAGATCCACGTGCGGGTGACGGCCGTCGGTGCCAGCGGCTCCAGCGCCCCGGCCACACTGGAGCAGCCAGTGCTCATCAGGGAGATCCTCCGTGAGTATTGCACAACTCCAGGGGGAAATCCCTGCACAGCTCCAGGGGGAAATCCCTGCAGAATCCGGGGATGAAATCCCTGCACAATCCTGGGTCAAATCCCTGCAGAATTCCCGTCTATCCCTGCAGAATTTCTCAAATCCCTACAGAATTCCTGTGTGAAATCCCTGCACAATTCCTGGGTGTCCGTCCCTGAACAATTCCTGTGTGAAATCCCTGCAGAGTCCCTGGGTGTCCATCCCTGCAGAATTCCTGTGTGAAATCCCTGTGGAGTCCCTGGGTGTCCATCCCTGCACAATTCCCGGGTGTCCATCCCTGCAGCCTCTGCCCCTCTCACACATCACATCCAACCCTTGACCCAGATCATGGAATATTTGGGGCTGAAAGGGCCCACAGGGATCCTCAGGTCCAACCCTTGAGTGAAAGGCCCACACAGGGATCAACCCCACCCCCCCTGGAACACCCAGCTGCTCTGATCCCAGATTTTGGGGTTATTCTCCGGGCCTGTGCCCAATTCCCTCGGGAAGGAGAAACTCCCTGAGCTGCTCCCACAGCCAGGGCAGCTTTGGGGTGAGGGAGTCCCCGGGTAGAGCCCCCCATTTTCGTGGCTGGAGCTCAGGGTCCCCGTCCATCCCTGCCTCTCTCCTCCCCCTGGCCACGCTCTCATCCCAAAAATTCCACCTCCTCGTTTGCCAGCTCCATTTATTCAGCTCAGGGAAGGCAAGAGCGGCTTGTCTGGGCCGTGGGAACTCCAATCACGCTGAACTCGCTAATGAACTTGCGGCTGCCGTGCCTGGCAAGGCTCACATTCCTGCCGGGATGCTGCTCTGGATGAGGCTTTGCTGGTTCCCACAGCAAACGGCAAATTCAGGCTCATTTTCCCGTTCCAAGGAATTATTAAGGCCCAAGTTTTCCTGGTACTTGAAGGACATATTGGATTTTACAGCTGCTTAAAAATAGTAATAATACCAACAAAGGTTATTCCAGGAACCATCAGCTTTTCATAGCAAAAGGCTTGGAGGAGTTCTTGGAGGCGTCTGGGTCTGTGCTCCGGGAGGAGGTGGATGTTTCTTCTCTTCTTTTCTCTTCTCTTTTTTTCTTTCTTTTTTCTTTTTTTTTCTCCTCTTTTTCTTTTTTTTCTTTTTTCTCTTTTTTCTTTTTTCTTCTTTTTTCTTTTTTCTTTTTTCTTTTTTTTTCCTCTTTTTCTCTTTTTTATCTTTTTCCCCTTTTTTTCTCTTTTTCTTTTTTCTTTTTTTCTTTTTCTTTTTCTTTCCCTTTTTCTTTCCCTTTTTCTTTCCCTTTTTCTTTCCCTTTTTCTTTCCCTTTCCCTTTCCCTTTCCCTTTCCCTTTCCCTTTCCCTTTCCCTTTCCCTTTCCCTTTCCTTTTCCCTTCCCGTTCCCGTTCCCATTCCCTGAAGTGTGTCCAGCCCGAGTTCTCCCCTCTCTGCCGAGTCTGTTCCCTTCTGGCTATCCCGCTTTCCCGGGCCTGCCCTCTGTGCCCCTCCCCCTGCATTTACAGCAGCGGGGACAGACTCGGGGACAGCTCGAGGGGCTGAGACCTGGGGCAGGGAAAATGCCTCCCCACGCTGACACTCTGTCACCTGGGCCACCAGCATTGTCCTCCCCCCGACAGTGTCACCTCGGCATAGGGAGGGAGCTGAGGGAACCCCCCCCGGCATTCCCATTCCTCCCTGGGACTCAGGTTTCTGTGCCCTGCTGAGGGGGACGAGCCCAGGAGGCAGCAGGGATGGAGGGACGAGCCCAGGAGGCAGCAGGGATGGAGGGCTGGGTCCCTGGAGCCGCAGCAGGAGCACAGGAGGGACGTCCTCAGCTGTCGGAGCCGTCTGGGAGCGCCGGGCGTGTCCCAGGATTCCACCCTCACAGCTGTTTGGCTCAGTCTGGTTTAATTCTGGCCGTGCCCCCTCCCCAGAGCTCCTGCACCTTTAATCCAGGCACAGACACTCAGCTCTTTCACGAGGGGCTCCCCTAAAGCCTCTCCAGAAGGATCCCCGAGTGGTAGAGTTACACAGGTTCTATTTTCACCCCGGGCACAAGGACACAATCCCTCCCTCAGCCTCCTCCGGGGGTGTTTTCCTTGGCTTTGTTGTGTTCCCTTGGGGACACGTCCCTTGTCACGAGCCTGGGGCTGTCCCAGGCACCTCCTGGATGGCACAGGCAGGTGGAGGTGGGGGGGGCTGGAGGTTGGGTTGTGTTACCTCTGGAACGTCTGGGGAGGGAATATTTCCCAGCTGGGAGATGCTGTTCCCGGCCTCACTCCCACGTGGGTCGTGCTGGGGCTCTCCTGGTCAGGCCCACGTTGTCTCCATGACCTGCAGGCAGGGAACAATCCCCTGGGTTGTGACCTGGTGTCCCAGGGGTGGATACAGTTTTGGGATACAGGCCACGGCCCTGCAGGGAATCACAGCCATCCAGGAGATGAGAGGGTGAGAGGTGTCCACGACTCTTGGTGGGTTTCCTGATGGCCAAGCAGGGGGATGTGAGGGGTGGGAGGTGACTTCCTTGTGTTCTCCCTGGTCTCCTGACCCGCCTTTCCGGTCCCCAGAGCTCCCAAAGATCCGGATGCCTCGTCACCTGCGGGAGACTTACGTCAGGCATGTCGGGGATGCCGTGAACATCATGATCCCTTTCCAGGTAGGTGGGTGGTGTGGGATTTAATCCCCCTGGTGTTTTCACTACAGGTTAGGTCATGCAGTGACTTTTCATGACGTGCCTGGGGCCAGCTGTGGTCTGATTGTCCTGGTCCTGTATCTCATGGGCCAAGGGTGGAAATGAGGCAGGAACCTTTTTCCCATTCCTGCCCAGCTCCCATTTTTCCCCTGCTACGCCTTTATTGGTGGTGCTGGCAATGGGACAACCCCAAGGACATGGGCTGGCTGTTGCTGCTGCCTCAGCTCACCAGCCCCAGGGCCCCACAGCTCAACACTGGGGGTCCCCTCGAGGGGAGCAGCTGCCTTTGGGGCCGGGCTGTGTGATGGGAGCGATGCTGGCACTGGTGGGAAAAGCTGGAGGTCGTCCCCTCAACTGCTCTGTCTCATCCTGGATGGGACATCACCAAAACATCACCATGGTCTGGGACGGGCAAAACCAGCCCTGGAATGTGTTGGTCAAGCAGGGGGGAGTGAGAGGTCCCTGAGATGAGGGACATGTCCCAGAGAAATTTGGGACCTTGGGCTGGCCATACTCCAGGCAGGCTTTTCCCTGGATGCCGGATTTAAGCCCGTGCTGTTGGGCTTGAGCCTGGGCTCAGCTCAGCACCTGGGGGAGTGAAGGAATTTGGGGAACTGCCATGTTGCAGCCTCATCCCTGGAGCCTGAGGGCTCCCAATTCCTGACCCTGGTGGGACTGGCAGGGATCTGGGGCTGGCAGGGATCTGGGGCTGGCAGGGATCTGGGGCTGGCAGGGATCAGCTGCAGGTCTGGAGGGGCCGGGCACAGCAGGCTGGTCCTGCCCGCCGTGCGCTCCAGTGGCTCCCAACCTGCCTCTGCTCCAGGGAAAGCCCCAGCCCGAGGTGACGTGGACCAAGGGGGACCAGCCCCTGGACAGCTCCCGCGTCAACATCCGCACCACGGCGCGGGACACCATCTTCTACATCCGGCAGGCCCAGCGCGCAGACTCGGGGCAGTACCAGCTGTGCGTGAGGATCAACGGTGCCGAGGACAGGGCCGTCCTGGACATCCAGGTGGTTGGTAAGGACAGGCACGGACACCCCGGGGCCCATTTCCACTCCTTGGCCGTGGGAAGGTCTTGTTCAGGGTGGGATGGGTTGGGATGGGACAGAAGCAGCAACAAAGAGAAGGACTTCGGGGTCCCTCTTCCAGTGGGATCATGGAGGTGAATCCTCTGGTTGGGGTGCAGGGTTTCTACCAGCCCTTGCCCCTCACAGCTGCTCCAGGGCTCATTTCTTCTCCTTGGTTTTGGGTAGGTCTTGCTCTGGGTGGGATGGAATGGGATGGGATGGGGCAGGACTGGCAAAAAGGTGGAGGTCACTCTTCCAGTGGGATCTTCTCCAGGATCATGGAGGTGAACTCCTCTGATTCAGGGTGCAGGGTTTCTACAGGCCCTTGCCCCTCACAGCTGCTCCAGGGCTCATTTCTTCTCCTTGGTTTTGGGCAGGTCTTGTTCTGGGTGGGATGGGATGGGGCAGGACCAGCAAGGAGGTGAAGGACTCTGGGGCCCCTCTTCCAGTGGGATCTTCTCCAGGGTCATGGAAGTGAATCCCCTGGTTGGGGGTGCAGGGTTCCCACCAGCCCTCACCCCTCATGGCTTATCATCCCTTGTGAGCTGCAGGAGAGGGAGCAGAGATCAAAAATGAGGAGCTTGAGGCTCAGAACGTGGGGGGAGTGACTCGGGATGTCACCTGGGGGGTTGTGTTTGCAGAGCCACCTGGGCCCCCCCAGAACCTGAAGCTGGTGGATGTGTGGGGCTTCAACGTGGCCCTGGAGTGGACCCCCCCTGTGGACAACGGGAACGCCGAGATCAAGGGCTACAGGGTGCAGAAGTCAGACAAGAGGAGCGGGGTGAGTCTGGGCAGCCCTGGTGCAGAGAGGCACTGAGAGGTCTTTGCCACGGGACAGACCCTGCTCGTTTATAACACATCAGTTTGTACAGTTCTTGCTCTGCTTTTCTCACCAAGACTTTCCAGGCACTTCTTCCCCCTTGTTTTCCTCTGTTTTTTGGCGTGCAAGTTAATTGGTACGTTACATCCAACAAGGATTAATATTTTTAAAAAATAATCCATCTTGTGGTTATAAAAAACCCCCAAAAACCCAAACAAAACAAACAAAGAAACGAACACTTTTTTTTTTTTTTTGGTACAGCTGCAGCTCTGATCGATTCAATATTTGCAGGTAAAGATTTATTGGAAATGGTGATATCAACCTCTTAGTTTAAAGGGTTGTGTATGTACTCTACTTTATATATTCATATACAGAATGTAGGACTTTATATATTTGTGATATGTGGATGGGGCCCCAGAGGGAAGAGATGAAATGGGAGCCTTGATTTTAGGAAAAAAAAAAAAAAAAAAGGAAAAGAAAAGGAAAAAGGCAAATAGTTAGAGAACTTTCTGGTATGGTGTGATATAAATAAATACAACAAAGCACCGGCCGTTTTGTAGCAAAGGACAGCAAAAGCAGACCCGTGCGCTGTTGGCATCTTCTCCATCCCCGGACCTTCCGCCTTTCCTCACAGTTCCCTTTCCCCCCTCCATCCCTGGAGCCTCTGCCTTTCCCTCCTCCATCCCCGGACCTGCTGCCTTTCCTCACGGCTCCTTTCCCTCCTCCATCCCCGGACCTTCCACCTTTCCTCACGGCTCCTTTCCCCCCTCCATCCCGGGACCTGCTTCCTTTCCTCACGGCTCCTTTCCCTCCTCCATCCCGGGACCTGCTGCCTTTCCTCACGGCTCCTTTCCCTCCTCCATCCCGGGACCTTCCACCTTTCCTCACGGCTCCTTTCCCTCCTCCATCCCGGGACCTTCCACCTTTCCTCACAGTTCCCTTTCCCCCCTCCATCCCTGGAGCCTCTGCCTTTCCCCCCTCCATCCCGGGACCTTCCACCTTTCCTCACGGCTCCTTTCCCCCCTCCATCCCGGACCTGCTGCCTTTCCTCACGGCTCGTTTCCCTCCCGCTCGCAGAAGTGGTTCACGGTTCTGGAGCGCTGCACCCGCACCAGCTGCACCATCTCCGACCTCATCATCGGCAACACCTACTCCTTCCGCGTCTTCTCCGAGAACTGCTGCGGGCTCAGCGACAGCGCCGCCGTGGCCGCCGGGGTGGCCCACATCGAGAAGACAAGTGGGGGCACTCCCGGCCTCGGGCTTGGGGGGGGGGGTGGTGGGGAGAGAGGGGTCCCGACCCCGCGGGGGCTTCCCGGGTGTTGGGTGGTGGTGCTGTGGTGGCCCCGGGGCCAGCCCAGGGGTACCCTGCCCGCACCCCACACCTCATTCCCCGTACCGTGGGCAGCCCCCTTGGGGGCAGCCAAGGCGTGGACATCCCTGGGGGAGATGGAAGCAGGAGCTGGGGCAGTGAGGGACAGCCCTGCCTCTGACCCTGCAGCTCAGGGCCAGCAGAGACCCCTCAGGAGTGCATCTTGGGGCCAAACCTGCCAGCAGCCTCCCTCAACCCTGCTCTCCATCTCCATCCTGCTCTCCATCTCCATCCTGCCCTCCATCTCCATCCTGCTCCCTGGGAGCACACAGGGAGTGGGGGGCTCTGCCCACCAGCTCCTGTTTCTCTGTGCTGAATTTTGGGGATGGAGCAGCAGATCCAGGGAGGTGCCTGGCCCGGGGTTGACCCGCTGCCCACAGGGTGGGTCACAGTGGGACTGAGGGCTGGCACCTCCCCTGACCCCTGCAGGGACTGGGCACTGACGTGGAGGGGCTGGATGAGAAGGCAGGGCTGGTCTGGGCTGAGAGCAGGTCCTTGGGGCAGGGGTGATGACACCTGGCCTGTGTGAGGGAGTAGAAGCATTTTTGGGTACCCTGTGACCATGTGTTGGTCAGCCAGGGAGCCCGAGCTCTGCCTCAACCCAGAACTGATTATTCCCTCAGAAACCACTTACCAGCCAGAGAAGATCCCCCAGAGGGACATGATGGAGCCTCCAAAGTTCACCCAGCCCCTGACAGACCGAACCACCACCCGGGGCTACAGCACTCACCTCTTCTGCTCCGTCAGGGGCTTCCCCCAGGTCAGAGGGACAGCACCACCTCCACGTGTGGGCACCAGGGGCTTGGGAGAGGTGGCTGGGAGAGAGTTGATCGTGCTGGGTTGGGGTTGGGTGAGGGTGGGGAGCTGCAGCTGCCCTCCCCGGGTCAGACTGGGGCAAGTTTGGGGTGTTCCTTCATGGGGGTGGGAGAGTGGTTGTAACTCAAGCCATGTCCTGTCTCCTGCACTGGGGGAGGAGGTGTGGAGTAGTGGTTTGGGCTTGAAAATGGGAGATTTGGGTCTTCAAAATCCTTCCGAGTGTGAATCCCACCATGGCCACCAGCTCCAGGCAGGGCCGAGGCGAAGGCAGAGGGAGGGGAGGTGGCTGCATTTGGGGGTCAGTCAGACTTCTCACTTCCCTCCCCGCTTCAAACAAACGAACGATCGATCCTGCTGCTTTCCAGCCCAAAATCATCTGGTTGAAAAACCAGATGGAGATCCGGGAAGACCCCAAGTACATCGCGATGATCGAGCAGGGCGTGTGCTCCCTGGAGATCCGCAAGCCCAGCCCTTTCGACGGCGGCGTTTACACCTGCAAGGCCGTGAACGCCCTCGGGGAGGCCTCGGTGGACTGCAGGCTGGATGTGAAAGGTGAGGAGCAGCAGGAGGAGCCGGAGGAGCCTTGCCCTGGTCTCTCGGCCTGGGGGGGGTGGTTTGTCCCTGGTTTGTCCCTGGTTTGTCCCTGGTTTGTGTTGGTTCTGGTGGTCCTGGGGCAGTCTGAGGGCTCTGGGCAGCCCTGGGGAGCTGCAGCTGCACAGCCTTATTGGGTTTATGGTCTTTGAAGCATCTGAAATCATCTTTCTGCATTCATGGCCTACAAATCACAGACTCACCGAATCCCAGGATATGCTGAGTTGGAAGGGACCCACAAGGATCACCCAGTCCAACCCTCAGCCCTGCACAGGCCCAGCCCCAAGAATCACCCCCTGTGCCCCAGAGGATCATCCAAACCCTCCTGCAGCTCTGGCAGCCTTGGGGCTGTGCCCACTGCCCTGGGGAGCCTGTTCAGTGCCAACCACCCTCTGGGGGAAGAACCTTTCCCTGAGATCCAACCTGAGCCTGCCCTGACACAGCTCCAGCCATTCCCTGGGGGCTGTCCCTGGTCCCCCCAGAGCAGAGCTCAGTCCTGCCCCTCCTCTGCCCCTGCCCAGGCAGTTGGAACTGCAGGGAGGTCTCCCCTCAGTCCCCTCTGCTCCAGCTGAACACACCAAGTGCCCTCAGCCCCTCGAGGCCCTTCCCCATCCTTGTTGCCTCCTTTGGACTCTCTAAGAGCTCAATCTCTTCCTTACATTGCCCCAAACTGCACAGTGGGAGGAAAGCAGAGCCCCAGAGCCAGAGCAGCTGCTGCAGGCTGGGCCCATCCTGCTCCTCCCTGCACCCCCAGCACTGGTGTCCTGAGCCACCCCCAAGGCCTGCCTGGGTGGCTGTGAGCTGAGCCTCCTCCCCTGCCCCTGGGCTGCCCTGATTTATGCCCAGGGATCCTGCCCAGCCTCCCCAGCTCACATTTCCCTGCCTCAGCAGTGCTCCCAGAGCAGCCCTTGCAAGGAGTTGCCCCCATTTCTCCCCCTGCCCGGGGCAGCCCCTCCTGTCCCACAGCCAGGATTCCTCCTGCCCACCCCCCACATGCTGCTCCAGTGCCTGTGTGTCCTTAAACACACCTTGTTTATGTGATTTCCCAAAAGTTATTCCTCAAAATCATGAAGCCAGAGAATGGTTTGGGCTGGAGGGACCTTAGAGGTCATCTTGTTCCACCCCCTGCCCTGGGCAGGGACACCTCCCACTATCCCAGGTGGCTCCAAGTTTATCCAACCTGTCCTTGGGCACTTCCAGGGATGGGGAATCCCCTGGGAATTCCATCCCAGCCCCTCCCCACCCTCCCAGCCAGCAATTCCTGCCCAATCTCCCATCTCTCCCTGCCCTCTGGCAGTGGGAAGCCATTCCCTGTGTCCTGTCCCTGCAGGCCTTGTCCCCAGTCCCTCTTCAGCTCTCCTGGAGCCCCTTCAGGCCCTGGCAGGGTCTCCAAGGTGTCCCTGGAGCCTTCCCTTCTCCAGGGGAACATTCCCAGCTCTCCCAGCCCGGCTCCAGAGCAGAGGGGCTCCAGCCCTGGGAGCATCTCCAGGCCCTCCTCTGGACCTGCTTCAGCAGCTCCTCATCCTCCTTTTGCTGTTCCCCAGGGCTGGGGCAGCTCTGCAGGGGGGTCTCCCCTGAGGGGGCAGAGTCCCCCCCTGCCCTCTGCCCTCCAGGCAGGAGGACGAGCTGGTCCCTGTGCTGGGAACACCCAGGAGGGCTCTGGGGGCCCTGGTGGGGCTGGGATGGCTTGGATCGTTGTGTGTGTGCAGGGATGAGGGGTGGGGGCACACGGGGGGGGTTGGCTGTGCCCTGGATATCCTTTGGAAGTCACAACGGGAGGAAGACGAGGGGAATTCAGGGGTTTTGTGTCTGCTGTGCTCTCCTGCAGTGCCCAAGTGAGGACGGATCGAAGAGCAAGACAAAGAGCAAGGTGGGTCTGGCTGGGGGCTCTGGGATTGCTGGGGCGTGGTTTGAGGGTCCTGGATTAGCCCCTGTCACCCCAACTCGGACCCCTCTCACCCCACGGCTCGGGAGGCACTGCTGGGGTGGGAGGAGGAGCCTGAGAGGAACCTGCCCCTCTGGGAGGTGGAGGGAGGGCTCTAAATAGGGCCGGGAGGAGGGACAGGGGGGGCTGGTGTGCCCAGCACAGCGGGCACAGCCCCGGTTTGCAGCCAGGGCTCTTGGGGAAACTTGGGTTGGGCAGGAAGGACAGGGCCTGGGGCCAGGAATAAAGGGGTGTGAAACGGGGCTGTGGGGTGGAAACACAGAGATAAAGGGCTGTGCCTGAGTTTTGTGGGGCAGGAGAGGACGGGGGGTGGGGGCTGGGCTGGGTTTGTCTTGCGCTGGAGCCACAGCAGGGATTTTTCCCCCTCATCCCTGAGTGTGGGGCCCTCAAAGCCCTCAGATCTCACTCCCTGTCCCCAGGTGGATGCTGCAGCTGCTGGGTGGGATCAGGGCCGGTGGTGATGCCCTGGTCTCTGCTGCTGGGGGGCTGCCCCTGCCTGGCAGAGCTCTGGGGAGGCTGCCTTGGCACGGCCCTCTCCGAGCCTGTCCTGAGCTGTGACAATAAAACCGGCCCCTCTGAGGGCCTTTGGTCCTAACAACGACCCCAAACCCCTCTGTCCTGCTCCTTGGGGGGTTGCCTTGGCCAGGGGTGGTGGAGGGAAGACCTCTGGGGGTGATGTGGGGACAGATAACATCCCACCCTATCAATGGGAGGAGATGGATTCCTGAGTTGGGAAATGAAAGGACCCTCTTTGTGGAACACACCAGAAGGTGTCTGCACCAGAGGGAACCCAGCCAGGGGAAGGACAGTGAGGGAAGTTTTCCTGCTGGAGCTGCAGGATGATCCTGGCTGGGGAGAAAGAACAGCAGCATCAAAACTGTGCCGTTGGTGCTTCTGCATCAAAGCACAATTTTTTTATCCACACCAGCGACCCGGCCAGGAACGGCCACCAGCATCCCCTCCCCCCGGCGTGAGGAAGGACAAACACGCACAGGTGGGGCCAGAATTCCCAGAATTCCTCGTTTCCCCCAAATTCCCCCGAATTACCACAAAATTCCATCAAAACCCCTGTAAAATAGCACAAAATTGACCTGAATTACTCCAAACATGTAAAATATATCCAAAGTACCCCCAAGAATCTCCCAAAAGATCCCAGAATTTCCTCCAATCCCCCTAATATTCCCAAACACACAAAACTGCCTCCAAAAAAATTCCCATATTCCATCAAACCCACCCAAAATATGCTCAAAGTACACCCAACCCCCCAAATCACCCCCAAATCCTCCAAGACCCCCAAATTCCCCCAAGTCCCATCAAAATACCCAATCAAGTCCCATAATATCCCAAAACGCCCTCAAAAACCCACCCAAATCCCTGAAAATTTTGGTGGGGCTTGGGGGAATCTGGGGGGTTTGGAGGATTTGGGGATGATCTGAGGGTTTGGTGTTTTGATGGGACTTGGGGGCATTTGGGGGTTTTGGAGGGCTGGGGATGATTTGGGTGTATTTTGCCCGTATTTTGGGTGGGTTTGAATTTGAGATTTTTTTTTTTTTTTATTTTGGAGTTGGTTTTGTGGGTTTGGGAATATCGGGGGGATTTGGGGAGGTTCTGGGAGGTTTTTGGGGGTGCTTTGGGGGTGTGTTTTGCCCCCGGGGGGTGCTGCAGCGGCCCCGTTCCCACCATCAGAGGGCATCCTTGGATCGCCTGTCCCGGCCGCGCTGGGGGTGGAGCGCTGGGACCGCGGGGATGCTGCAGTCGGGGCTGCAGAGCCGCTTGTCCCCGTCACACCCACGGCCGGCCCTGGGCGCTGGTGGGGATGGGCCCCTGGGTGCCCCTGGCACGTGGCGTTCTTTAGGACGCAGGGCTCGGAACCCGCAGAGGGGGCTTTGGGACCACGGGGGAGAGGCAGCATCGCCCAGACTGTCCCACTGCCCGCTGTGCCCTTTCCAGACCCTCATTCCGACCCTGCAGGGCACAGCCTGGGTTTGTAACACCCTCCCCCTCCCCGGGGCACCGAGGGGGGCCAGAACATCCACGTTTAGTGGGAAAGGTCTGGAGAGCACCGAGTGGAAAAATCCACTGGATGGGGTTGTTTTGTCTGAGGTGACTGTTCACGTGCTTTTAATTTACGAGCATCCCCAGGTTTCTGGGCACCTCAGCAAGGACCAGGGGAAGGCGCCAGTGCCGGGAGAGCAGCGGGAATGAGCTGGACGTGGGAGTCAGAACTGACAAACCGCAGCACAGATCTGAGGGCGCTGCTGTGCCAGGGGACCACGGGGGGCTGGGGGTCCTCTCTGTGCCAGGCTGGGCTTGCAGCACCCCCAGGCACTGCTGACATCGGGTTCTCCAGCACCCCCAGGCACTGCTGACATCGGGTTCTGCCAGCACCCCCAGGCACTGCTGACATCGGGTTCTGCCACTGCGGGGGCTGGGAGGGTGTTCAGGGTCCCTGGGAAGGATTTGCCCCTGTCCTGCCGTTGCTCCTCTGCTCTGCTCCCGTTTTGCCCAGTGTGGAGCCTGGAAATGACACCCTGAGGCCCCTGCAAAGTGTGGGAGGGCGAGTTCCTCATCTCCTCTTTTCTCTGTTACCCTCCTCTTCCCTCCAGGCTGAGCAGAGTGGGAGAAGGGGACACCCAGCAGCCCCACTGCCCATGCCCCCTGTTCAGTGTTGCTCTTGGTGCCCAGCTAAGAAACAACCACTAAACCTCATACTTCCAAGGTCTCTTTCCTCTCTGCACCCCCCTCAACCCTCGCAGGAACTCTCAGCAGCCCCTTTGCCGTTGGTGACGTGTCCCCTCCCAGGGCAGGACCCTGCAGGGTCACAGGACGAGTGTTCCAATGGGAGCCTGGTGAACGAGGGATGCTGATAAGGAAAGAATCCCAATGAACTCCAATTAACTCTTCCCACCACTGCTTGAGCCCTGGAGGGGATCCTGCTGCAGAGCAGGGGTTGGCACTGTCCCCATCCAGAGGGACCAGAGCTGGGAGGGGTCGGTGATCCATGTCCAGCCACCCCCTCCTTCAGTGGGAGGGGTGGGAAAGTGTCCCTGTGGCAGCACCAGCACTGATTCACTGGCCTGCAGCCACCCCCCAGTTGCCCCCAGACGGGTGCAGGTGCCCCTCTGCCCTCGCTGGGCCATGGAATTGCTGCATTATCCCACAGTTTTGGGTTGAAATCGTTTGGCTGCACGGGGAGGGGGAGAGGGAGTGACAGATGAGACAGATGAGACAGATGAGACAAACGGGCCGGGAGAGATTTGCTGCTGCTTTTCACAGAAGACACGAGGGAGAAAAGAGGGAAAAGGGCTCAAACCCGAAGTAAATGGAAGGAAAGACATGTGGAGAGGACACAGCCCCTGGGGGCAGCTCCTGGGGTGTGGGTGCTGTTGGGGTCCACGGGGAGCTGCACGAGGTGCTCCTGCAGAGCACTCTGGGGTTGTGCTGAGGGTTCCACTGCCCCTCTGCCCCCTGTCTGCTGGCACTGGGAGCTGGACACCGACCCTGTGCTCTGTGGGGACGGTTGGTTCCACTGCCATGGGAGGCCTTTTCCCCTCCCTTGCCGTGCCTGTGCCAGGTTCAGCTCTCCCTGGCTGTGGAGGGGGAAGAAAAGCTCTGAAGAGCTGCAGATCTCCAGCAATCCCCCTGCCTGGGCCCTCAGCACCTTCACTCCCTGGTTCCCAGTGCCCAGCTGAGTCCATGGATGAGGGGGGGCAGAGCAGGAGGTGCCCCCACAACCCCACAGAGCTGGGGGTCTCCGTTGATGGGAGGGCACCTCCTGCCTGGTTTGGGCCACGGCTCTTTATTTGCAGGAAGATAAACTGCTCCTCTGTCTGTACAACCTCTCCTTTTAAATACTTGGCAACCCTTAAAAAATAAAAAAGAAAAACAAAAACAAACGGGGGGAAACAAACCAAAAACAAACCGAGAAAGGAACAGTGCAGGGCTACAACATCCAAACAGTGAATAAATAACCCCCCGGGAGGGGGGGGGACCAGGCTGCTGGGATGGCCCCGACCCTCCAGGTCCTCATTCCCTTCTCCCAAGGCAGGAGCAGCGTCCAGTGGGTCCGGGGGGGGCACAGACCCCCCTCCCTGCCCTCCCCCCGGCCCTAATTGGCCGGTTCGGCCGTGGTGGTGCTGCCGGTGGCGTTCTTGGCGGTTTTGCAGCAGAAGTACTGGTTCCAGATCTGCAGGAAGGCTGTCCGGAACTTCTTGATGCGGAAGGCGTAGACGATGGGGTTCATGGCCGAGTTGCCGTGGGTGAGGAAGATGGCGATGTAGGTGAGGATGTGGGGGGTCTCGCAGGACGGGCAGAACAGGGTGATGCAGTTGAGGACGTGCAGGGGGAGCCAGCTGAGGGCGAAGAGGAACAGGACCAGCGCCAGGGACTTGGCGATCTTCAGCTCCTTCCCGTAGTACTTCTGGGGGTCGTTGGAGCTGGACGAGACCTTCTTGTTGAGCTGCTTGCGGATGAGGTTGAAGACCTCCAGGTAGATGAGCAGCATGAGCAGCAGGGGGGGCAGGACCCACACGAAGAAGTTGAAGTACACCATGTACTCCATGCTGATCACCGTCTCGAACTGGCACGTGATGATGAACTCCTGGCTGGCGTTGGGCTCCTGAGTCCTCCTCATCTTGCTCAGGTTGTTCCAGCCGAACATGGGGGTGAGTCCCACCAGCAGGGACACGATCCAGCAGCAGGCGATGGCCACGGCCGCCCGCCGGGGCGTCACCACGCTCTTGTACCTGGGGGGGGACAGGAGGCACAGGGGGGAGCTCAACACCAGCCAGGCTCGTCCCCCACCTCTCAAAATCACGTCTCAGTTGGGGCTGAACCAAAACCAGGAGGATCCTGCACATGAACCTCGTGTAGATGGGAAGTTTGGGGAAATGCAGTTACCAGAGTGGGTCTGGTTGGAGGGATCTGGGGTTCTGGGGGTTCAGCTGGGATGTCTCTGTGCACGTTCCCAGAGTGCTGCACACGGATTGCTGGGTGACCTGTGAGCAGCTCAAAGCCCACAACCCAACCTGCCCATCCTCCCAAAGGTTAGTGTCTGGGAATTGCAGCTGTGGGAATGGGGGTGATTTCCCCTCAGTTCATACCATCCTGAGGGGTTGCATTTCCATGGCTTGCACTCGAACATCCCAAATCCCTCCCATCTCCACGGGCTGCTCCAGCTGGGGTGGCAGTGCCCGTGCTGGGCTGGGGTGATGCCCCTCACCCCTCCCCTGGCAACCAGCAACGGCCTGCTCTGATAGCTGTGTCAACAAACTGGTTTCCCTGGGATGGGCAGAGACCTCAGACACGCTCCTGGAGCTCAGGGGGTTGATGCCACACCAGGAAATGCTTTAGGAACCTGGAGGGGGCCTGCTGGGTGTCCTCCCCCATCCCCTGGAGGGGTCTGTGTGCCCTGCCAGCCCAGCTCCCATCCCAGCCCCTCCAACCAGACCTGCAGGGCTCCCTGTCCTCCCAGCCCAGCCCAGCCTGCAGCTCCTGCCCTGGACCATTCCATGCTGCCAGGGGAGGAAATCGCTGCCAAAGCCCCTCCTGGGAGCCAAGAGGACGGAGGGAGGGTCTGGGGTGCTGATGGAGCCCTGGGGAAGGTTCTGGGCACAGCCTGTTCCATTTCCATCCCTAATGGAGGTGGCCCATCCACAAACCCTCTTTCCTCGTGGGCTGGTGCCAAGGCTGAGGAGGAGGAGGAGGAGCAGGAGAGCACTGCAGGGCTGGGCTCGTCTCCCCAGAGCTCTCCAAGCGGGAAGTGGAGTCTGCTCCATTGATTTTCCTGCCTGGCCCTCAGAAAAGCTTCTCCTTGGAGGCTCAGAAGATTCTCAGCCCCGGAGTTGCCTTTCCCCTGAGGGGGTTAAACAAAGGCCACTTTCCTGGCTCTTTGCTGGGTCTGTCAGTGCTGCTGGTGTTTGACCTGGACCACGTGGACCTGGATGGCAAAGCTGGATCTCCATCCTGGTCCTGGAAAAAGGTTTCCTTTGCCCGTGGTGGGAAATGGAGCATTTTGGGGCTTTTTAATAGGGCTGAGGACCCCAAACCAGTCCCCTTCCCCTTCTCAGGACCCCTCTCAGGGCAAGGCATCAGGGTGGGAGAAGGGAGGGCTCAGGGTGAAGGAGGGGACATCAGTCCTCAGGAGTCCAGAGGGTCCAGAGCCACCAGTCCTCCCAGCAGCTTCCCTGAGTGAACCTTCCCTGCCATGGGAAAAGGTTCCCACCATGCTGGTGGCAGCCAGGTCCCATGGGAAGGAGGTGACAATGTGGGCAGCCGTTTCCTCTGAGAGTCAAGGCTGCAGTCAGAGGGTGATTTATTCCTTGTGGGGAGCAGAGAGGGCAGGAGACCCTGAGAAAGGCCTGGGCAGGGCTGGGGCACAGGGAGGGCAGGGGGGTGGGAGAGAACTGGGACTGTGGGACAAGGGAAGGGAGGAGGGGGGCCCACGGGAGGGGGGGCACAGGGATGTCAGAGGCTCCCGTGGGACTCTGGGCTGGCCTGTGCTCCCCGTGTCACGCAGAACAGGTCCTGGGGGGTTGGTGTGCCCTGGCACCTGTGACACCCCCCTCCCACCCCCCAGGCTGGAGCAGCTCAGGGAGGGGGTGACAAGAGTGGAAATAACAGCCCTGTCCCCCATCCCAGTCCCTCCTGGCAGTCCCTGCGGGCTGTGTCCCCTCTCCCCACTCCTGGGGCTTCCCAGAATCTCCTGCTGATGTTGTTGGACCTGCTCCCCCCCTGCCCTGCCCTGCAGAGCTGTGGCAGAGCCACCATCAGGGACACAAAGTGCTGAGCAGCCACAGGGCCACCACGGCCCCAAAGACCCTCCCAGGGCTTGCAGGCAGCACCCACGGGGGGGCACTCCCAGAGCACCCAGCCCTTCTCCCCTGGGTGGGAGCACCGAGTCCCCACTGTCACCCGTGAACCAGGAGCAGAGGGGCTGGGGAACAGCTGCAGGGGGACAATCCCAGCCCCCCCAGAGCTCCAGAACATCCTGAGCTGTGCAGATGGATGTGGGGCCAGCTGTGGAGGGTGTGCAGACCATGGGGGGACAGCTCAGGGGGTCCAGAGGGGGGAAACACAGAGCACACCCTGCCAGGGGCTCCCCCACCTCCCACCTCCTCATGGCACTTCTGTCCTCCTTATGGCACAGCCGTCCTTCTCACTGCCCAGCCATCCTTTCCCGAGACACATCCACCCCTTGCCTGCATCCACCCACCCACCCCCTCTCTGGGGGACATCTCTGCCTCACATGGATGCTCCCACCTTGCTGCACGTCCATCCCTGCTCCTCCTTGCACACCCAGCCCTCTGCCCTGGTCCATCTCCATCCCTCTGTCCTGGTCCATCTCCATCCCTCTGCCCTGGTCCAGATCCATCCCTCTGCCCTGATCCATCTCCATCCCTCTGCCCTGGTCCAGACCAATCCCTCTGCCCTGATCCATCTCCATCCCTCTGCCCTGGTCCATCTCCATCCCTTTGTCCTGGTCCATCTCCATCCCTCTGTCCTGGTCCATCTCCACCCCTCTGCCCTGGTCCAGACCCACCCTCGTTGCCCATGTCCATTTTCCCCCTCCCTGCCCGTGCCTGGCCCGTCCCACACAATTTGAGCAGCAGGACCTGTTGTCCCCGCCCCCCACCTCACTTTGCCCCCCCAGGTTTGACCGTGGCCCTGCAGGAGCAGCTGAGAACCAGCCTGTCCACCCACCCTCCTCCATGTGGGCACCAAGGTCCTAAAAACACCATGGCTGAACCCAAAAATCCGTGAGAAACGGCAACATTTGGGGCTGGTTTTGCTTCCTTTGCTCCTTCAGGCACCGAGCCCAGAGGAGGTTGCAGGGAAATGGATCCCTGGGAACCCACGGGTGGTCCCTGTCCCCACCCACGTGGAGGGGCAAAAGATCCTCCTCTCTCCCTCCCCCAGCTCTGCCCAGGGAGCTCCCCTGGGGCTCACAGGCCCCCCTTCAACCACTTTCCACCCCATTTTCCCGGGAAGTGTCCGAGGCAAGACCGGACTTGGCACTCGGCTGACAATGTGAGGATCGGTCAGAGGTTGGACCTGATGATCCCAGAGGTCTTTCCCAACCTTAATGATCCTGAGCTTCTGCCAAGGGTGGAAATGCAAGATCCCACCTGATTCCCAACCCCTCGGTACGTGGTGGGGGATTAACAGAGGGTCGGGGACAGACTTTGCTGTTCCTGTGTTTTTTCCTCCCATGAAGGAAAAGCCTTTCTCCTTTACCTCATTCTGCACTAACATGACAGGGCTGGGGTGGGTCTGGGAGGAAGAAGCTCTAGAAAATGCTGGTAATGGCTCCCAATTAATAAATAATCTCATTATTACCATCAGCATCAGAACAATTAGCAGCATCCTTGCAATTTTATTGCCACTATTATTTTTACTGGCAGTTGCGACTAAACCATCCCTGATGAGAGTCACCACCATCATCACCCACTTTGGGTTTGTTTCCTTTGCCTGGGGGGCTTTCAGCCTGACCATAATTGGTAGAGTTTCCTCCCCCTCAGTGGTGGTTTTTGCACCATCCCTTCCCCACAAAGAGCACCCCAAGCCCTCAGGAGAAAGGAAGCACAGCCACCATCCACCTCTTTGGTTCCCTGGGGAGATGGGAGGGGCAGGAGGTTGGGTTTGGTGCGGAACAAAAATGTCTGTGAGGTTTTGGAAAGTAACGCAAGGAGGCAAAATAGGAATTATTGATGGTGCTGTTTGCTCCCCAGGGGAAGGGAAGAGGTGATGGGTGGAGGTGGAGGCAGACAAATCGTCCCCAGGGGCAGACAAATTGGTCAGAGCTAAAAGGAGCAGCAGCTCCAGGGAAAGTGCTGCCTCCTGAGGGGACACTCCAGGACATGCCAGTCAGAGGAGCAAACTCTGAGGCCCCTTTTCTCCAGGAGAACATGGAACCCCAGAGGGGTTTGGGGAGGGATCTTAAAGCTCATCCCATTCCACCCCTGCCCTGGGCAGGGACAACTTCCACAAGCCCAGGTTGCTCCAAGTTGATCCAACCTGGCCTTGGACACTTCCAGGGCTGGGGCAGCCACAGCTTCTCTGGGAATTCCATCCCAGACCCCCAGACCCTTACAGGGAAGGATTTCTTCCCAATATCCCATCTCTCCCTGCCCTCTGGCAGTGGGAAGCCATTTCCCCTCATCCCAGAGAGGGCTGGGAGCTCATTTCCCACTCCCAGCCCAGTCCAAACCCAGCACTCCCCAAACACCTCTTGTTTTGTTTAAAAAAAACCCTCAAAGCTCCCAGGTCTGGTTGGAATAAAACAGGAGGATTTTTGGCATTTCTGTGATTATCTTTTTGTGCCCAGGAAATCCTTTCTGTTGTCCAACCAGAGCCAAGATGTGGCTTTGCAGGTCCTCGGTCTGGTGGGTTTTATTGCAGAATTAATTCCTGGGGAATTAATTCACTAATGAAGACAGACCATGGCTAATGAAAGGAGCTGGAGCCAATGGGGCAGGAGGAGGGGAGGCCAAGCTGACACAAAGCTCATCTGCTTTATAAGCAGCAAGGAACAGCAGCCAGAGCGTGTCCTGATCTAATTGGAAAGCTCTGGACAAAAGTGCTTTGATGGCAGAGGGTTTGGGTTTCTGCTCCTTTCCCCTGCCTGGGTCTCCCTGTCAGATCTCTCAGTGTCCTGGAGGCCTCTGGGTGGGAAACTCAGGCCTTGGCGTTCAGAGCTGCTCCAAAATGAGAATCTGGGAAATGCCAAGCGGTGTCTGGGCTCTGG